GTGTTCAAGAGAATAAAGGTTGTAAGCAGAAGGTTAAGAAAAGGCCATTGGGTTAAGTAACTTGGAAAAAGGTACAACTTATGGGAAGCTTAATAAGATACAATTCATGCATCAATTTACACATTTAAAGTGTACAATTCAATGGTATTTAATATATTTACAGAGTTGTACAGCCATCACCAAATTCAACTTTAGACCATGGCACGATCTTGGCTCACTGCAACCTCTGCCTCTCGGGTTCAAGCGATTCTTCTGTCTCACTCAGCCTCCTGAGCAGGAATTACAGGTGCCCACCACCACACCTGGCCAATTTTTGTATTTTTAGTAGAGATGGGGTTTTGCTGTGTTGGCCAGGCTGGCCTTGAACTCCTTACCTCAGGTGATCCACTCGCCTTGGCCTCCCAAAGAGTTAGGATTACAGGCATGAGCCACTGTGCCCGGCCCTAGAACATTTTTGTCTGCACCAAAAGAAACTACTCCCATTAGTTGCTCCCACAGTCCCTCTCCATCACCCTACCCTGCATCCCTCCAGCTCTAAGCAATCACAAATCTACTGGTGGCTGCTTTAGATTTGCTTATTCACAATATGTGTCCTCTTGTGTCTGTTTTGTTTTTTTCTATTGTTTTCTGTATTCTTTAATAGCATAGTATGTGTCAGCGCTGCATTCCTTTTTATGGTTGGATAATGTTCCATTGTATGACCACACCACATTTTGTTTATTATCAGTTGATGGACCTTTGGGTGCTATGAATAATATTGCTATGAATATCCATGTATACATTTTTGTGTAGTATATTTTTTTAGTTCTCTTGGATATATACCAAGAAGTGGAATTCTTGGGTCTTAGCATAACTCTGTTTAACTTTTTGAGTAACGGTTGTGGAGGATAGACAAGTTGCCAATATTATTTAGAAATAATAATCACGATGAATTTTAGTATCATTACTAGGAGGAAATTGCAAAATGTCTGTGTTCAAACATTTTATTCAGAAATAAAGCCATTATAAAAATAATGTATAGAGTTGTTTTTTGTTGTCTAAAACTATTATGTGCCTATATTTCTCCTTTCATTGGAAACCTTTTGTTTTGAGTGTTACCTTGTAGCTTAGCTGAAGTACTAGACATTTTTCTTGTTGATCTATGTATTGATGTAAGTACACTTAACCAGTTTCACATGATTTGTAAGAATGATTACATATACAATAAAAACATCACAGAGATATTTGATGACAATCTACAGTCATGATTTATTTTTCTGCCTAGTCTTAACTGTAGAGATCAAATACTATGATTCGCCACCCCGCCCCCCACCCCATTTGGATTTCCTGTAGTTTATGCATCCCAGTTCGATATTCACAGAAATATGCTTATCCTATTTTGGTTCTTTAGCTTAGCTTATTACCTAGTGTTCCCATAAATGAAAATATGAATAAAAAATTTTTGTTGGCTGGGCGTGGTGGCTCACACCTGTAATCCCAGCACTTTGGGAGGCTGAGGCGGGTGGATCACTTGAGGTCAGGAGTTTGAGATCAGCCTGGCCAACGTGGTGAAACCCCATCTCTATATAATAAAAAAAAAAAAAAAAATTTTTTTTGTTGTGAGTAATTCATTCAGATGGTTCAAATTTGAAAAGTTCAAGGTGGTGAACGGTGAAATTTCTATCCCATCTTTTGCTATTGGTTACCCAAATCTCCTTTGGTAATGAGTATTGTATGACTTTTTTTGTTTATCCATCCAGATTTATACTTTGCTTATATATTTAACTGTATTCTCCCCTTCTTCCTGCCCATATGGTACTGCAAATACTTCTGTACCACACCTTAAAAAATTAGTTATTTCCATTCCATTTTTACTTACCAAATATGTTTGAGACTGTTACATATATGTTTATCAAGTTTTGTCATTGTTTCCGATGGCCGCTTTTACTTTTAACCACTTCCATCAAGACATTTTGGGTCTGTATCTTAATTTTGATTCACTTTGCCAAATTGCTGTTGTTGGGCTGTACCAATTTATAATGACACTAGCAACTTAATGAGAGCTCCTGTTTTTCTGTACTCTCAAAATGTCATTTTTTGATATTTGCCAATCTAAGTTAAAAAATGGTATTTAAATGTAGTTTTATTTTGCATCTTTCTTTTGAGTGAGATTTAGCATTTTTTGTCTGGTTAAGGTATTATGTAATTTTTCTGCAAACTGAGATTTGTCCATTTGCCCCTTTTTTTGTTTTTTTCTTTTGTTGGCCCTCTTTATTTATTAGATGTCAGACCTTTGATGAGTTCTGAGTTAAACAAAAACTGATATTGGAGTAGAAGTTGCTTCAGTTCTAATTGAATAAGAAATATTTCAGTAACCATTGGGAGTATACTGATAGTTCATCTAGTTGAGTTCCTTTCCCAGCCCAGTGAAACTTTAGGGCCAGCATTTTTGGAGGAGTTTGTTGAGATTACATGGTTTTCTAAATAAATATATTTCACATAGTCTCTGAGAGAAGGTAGATTGCTTAAGAAATGGAGTATTAATCACCTTCCACATTTTATTTCTTTTTAGATAATGTTGAGAAGCAATTTTAAAAATCTCTCATGTATACTAAAATGCCTGTTACATCAAACCATATAAAAATGTTAATGTTGGCCGGGCGTGGTGGCTCACGCCTGTAATCCAAGCACTTTGGAGGCCAAAGTGGGCGGATCACCTGAGGTCCGGTGTTCAAGACCAGCCTGACCAATATGGTGAAACCCTGTCTTGATAAAAAAATAAAAAATAAAAAAATAAGAAAAATGTTAATGTTATAATTATGCTTGTATTTTCTTTTCTTTTTTTTTTTGAGACGGAGTCTCACTCTTGCCCAGGCTGGAGTGCAGTGGCATGATCTTGCCTCACTGCAACCTCTGTCTCCTGGGTTCAAGCAATTCTGCCTCAGCCTCCTGAGTAGCTGGGATTATAGGCGCTCACCACCATGCCCAGCTAATTTTTGTATTTTTATTAGAGACGGGGTTTCACCATGTTGGTCAGGCTGGTCTTGAACTCCTGACCTTGTGATCCACCCGCCTTGGACTCCCAAAGTGCTGGGATTACAGGAGTGAGCCACTGCGCCCAGCCATGTATTTTCTTGTAAAATATAAATATTATAATTTTTTATTTATGAAAATATACCTCAGATGATAGTGAGTCAAAGTAGCTTGAAGTTTCATAATCTGTACTGCTTAGAAGTGTTTTCATTTTAGTGGAAGCTCTTAATTTTCCAAAGCCTGAGTTTTCACTTTATGTGTGTTTGTGCTCCTAGACTAATGGGCCCAAGAACATTTCATTGCTGGGCCAAATATGATGGCATGATACAGACATAGTGGCATGTATAGGCTGACAGATGAACCACTAAATCCACTTTGTCAACTCATACATGGCTAAATGATAGCCTATTTCAGAGAAATATTGTGAGAAATAACCAAAGGAAAATAAAGGTAATTGAGGCAGATTCTTGTGAAGTCTTAGCAAGAAAAACATGGTTAGGAAGACAACCACCACCACAAAACAAAAGAAAACCAGGCATTTTAATTTACTGTTACTTAATAAAAATCAGCACTTTTGTAATAAAATTTTTGTCCTGCATTTATGAATCTGTGTAAATATTTTAATACAAGAGTGTGTATATATAATTTTAAACTATTTGTCTTATAAATAGAATGTTATATAGTAAAAATTAAATGGACTCTCTTAAACCAAGAATTAAGGGAATTCAAAAATGCCACATAGCAGTGCTTCTCAGACTGTCTCTGTTATAAAAGACCAGCAAAAATTTTCATTCCGTTGTGGACCAATACTTATGTAAAATATAAACCGAAAACTGCCCAAATACCACCAGAAAACATTCTAACAAATTTGAAACTTAAAAGCTCAAATCTTTGCTTTATCAGCAGATAAAATTATTAAAAAAAAAAAAAAAAGCATGAGGTACTAGAAAAGAATTGTGACAACTACCCGTATTGTTTATTGAAAATGTGCTTTTAAAGCAACTAACATATGAATAAAATAATACTCTCTTGTGAGCTGGTAATTAACACTGGGATGCAGACTGTGTTCAGAATAACCTGCTTTTTTTTTCGGAGTAGACAGCTAAGTGACTTCTTTATGTTTTCTTCTTCTTCTTTTTTTTTTTTTTGACACAGTCACCTAGGCTAGAGTGCAGTGACGCAATCTCGGCTGACTGCAACCTCCGCCTCCTGAGTTCAAGCGATTCTCCTGCCTCAGCCTCTTGCGTAGCTGGGATTACAGGTGTGTGCCACCACACTGGCTAATTTTTTGTATTTTTAGTAAAGATGAGGTTTCACCATGTTGACCAGGCTGGTCTTGAACTCCTGACCTCAGGTGATCTACCCACCTTGGCCTCCCAAAGTGCTGGGATTACAGGCATGAGCCACCATGCCCAGCCGCAAGTACTTTTTTATTTTTAATTATTTTTGAGACAGAGTCTCGCTCTTGTTGCCCAGGCTGGAGTGTAGTGGCACGATCTTGGCTCACTGCAACCACTGCCTCCCGGTTTTAAGCGATTCTCCTGCCTCAGCCTCCTGAGTAGCTGGGACTACAGGTATCTACCACCATGTGTGGTTAATTTTTTGTATTTTTAGTAGAGATGAGGTTTCACCATGTTGTCCAGGCTGGTCTCAAACTCCTGACCTCAGGTGATCCACCTGCTTTGGCCTTCCAAAGTGCTGGGATCACAAGCTTGAGCCACCGTGCCCGGGCCCAAGCAGGTACTATCAGCGGACAGAGAGATTTAAATTCTAACCTTTTTATGTTACCCAATTAAATAATTTTATCCAACTTCAATGGGAGCAAGAAAAAGTAATTTTAATAAATAACTTTGATAGCTTTTTTTGTATTATCCAGTTAAATAACTTTAAGAATAGGACTTTTGAAAGTTATCTTTGCATGAATTTATGTAAGTAACTTGTGTTTTGGTAGAAAGGAATATATACTATATTTGCCTCTTTTCCTCTAGGGTAATTCCTCTTCTGCAATTACTTTTGGATGGAAGTATGCCCCTTTCTCAATAGAAGATGGTAATCTTGGAGAATGACCATGGAGAAGGGGATGAGTTCTGGAGAAGGACTGCCTTCCAGATCATCTCAGGTTTCGGCTGGTAAAATAACAGCCAAAGAGTTGGAAACAAAGCAGTCCTATAAAGAGAAACGAGGAGGCTTTGTGCTGGTGCATGCAGGTAAGCTTTGTGGATGGCTTGGAGGATACCAGTAATGTTGATTTTTCTTTTTCTGCCTTGAAGTACACTGAGAAACGCATTTCATGTCTGGAGGAGGCAAAATTGCCAGAGAGGAATTGGAACCAAAGAGGTCGTTTGACTTTGGTTAGAAGGTCTTATAATGGCAGCTCTTCCTAGGTCTTCACTTCCCTACCCCATTATTTACTTTAACCCTATATAACAGATATATTTAGGTTATGTAAGTATTAAAACCGGACAAAGTAATTTTTTTTTCTGAGATGGAATTTTGCTCGTCTTGTCCAGGCTAGAGTGCAATGGGTATGGTCTCAGCTTACTGCAACCTCCGCCTCTCGGGTTCAAGTTATTCATCTGCTTCAGCCTCCCAAGTAGCTGGGATTGCAGACGTCTGTCATCATGTCTGGCTAAATTTTGTATTTTTAATAGAGACAGGATTTCACCATATTGGCCAGGCTGGTGTCGAACTCCTGACCTCAGGTGATCTCCTGAACTCCTGACCTGTCTTGGCCTCCCAAGGTGCTGGGATTACAGGCATGAGCCACTGCCCTGGCCCACCTTCTTAATACTGTAAGTGAGGAATTTTAAGACCAGAGAGATTAAGTGACTTAAGTGACTTCAGCTACACTGCAAGTTGGTGCTAGAGCCAGCCTAAGAAACAACTATGTACGCCCTTATGTCTCATTGTAGTGCTTTTGGCACTGTGTCAGCCTGCGATCTCTCTATTTCAGAGGACCATGAGGACAGACACAGTTCATCCCCTGGGCCTCCCATCTTTGAAAGGTCTTGGGTTGCCCAGGTTTCCTTAGCGGGCTCTTTTTCTTTTGGCCATTTTTATTTTCTTGCATTCAGAATCCACTTTCTATGACCTCTATGAAGAGAGAAGGAGTGTCTGAGTTTCCTTTTAACATTCCCTGGGTAGTCAAGCAAGATGACAGAAGGATTACTTTGATATGGAATGAAGAGTAGAACTATTTCCTCTCATGAGACTGGTGTCCTGCCTGGCCATTAACCTTTGGCTGTATCTAGACTGACAACCAAGAAGCTTTATGTGAATCTAATCCAGATTATCTAAAGAAAAGAAAAATCCAAAAAACAAAAACCAGGTTTAATTTCATTGTCTCACAGATGCTTTTACAAGGAGGTGAGGTAAATTTACCAGAAATAACCTAGCTAAAAGTAGACCTGGAACTAGAGCCCTGCCTTCAGACTCCTAGTCTGTGTTCTCTCTGCTACACTATGTTGATGGAGCATCTTCCGTGGTACCAGTGAGTTACTGTTTTCAGAGTGAGTGTTTGGAAAGTGTAAACGAAAGATCTGAATGTTGTAACAAGCAATAACATAAAGCTTCAATTAGTTGGAAGCCCTACTTTCTATTACTGTCATGACCCTGTCCCTCCTCTCTTAGACTAGATGATAATGGCTCTGCCAACCTTAAATAATGGGATTCAACAATTCATGCGCAAAGCTTGAGGATGCCCACCTGGGAAACACTGACTCCAAACAAATGAGGTCAGTGTTCCAAAGTAGAGAAGTTAAAGTTTCATTTATATAAGTAGAGAGAAAAATTTTAGCAGAATTAATAACATTTTCCATACCAGACCAGTGCATAAGTTACAGCAATTTGATGGGTTACAAATTATTACATCCTAAGTGAGATTACTTTTTACTTAGTGAGGAGGGGCAGTGATCTGAGAGGGTCTTATCTCTGGTGTTGTTTGATTTTCCTAATTATTTACAGGAAAAAAGCAAAAGTTGCAGCTGCATGTTGTGTGACTCAGGCTGCACAGCCACATTCCTCTCAAGACTCAGAATGATTTAATGGTTCAACAGTTTTAGGTTTGAATTATTTAATTTCATACTTTCAGGTATAGTTGGTGCTGGGGACCAGCAAGAAGAGTAGGTACTCAGAGTTACGGTAGGATATTGTGTGAATTAAGGGTGACCCTCACTTCTAAATTATTAGAGAGTCAGAGTGATTGATTATGCAGACGGATATATCTTGCACATTTAAGGGTCAAAAATTCACATCCTCATTCAATGTAGAGCAGTTTTGTTTTTTAGCACTAGAGTAGACTTGCCCAAACTTTTATGATTTGTGTAATAGATTCTTGATTTTTCCCACTGCCTATACTGTTTTATCTAATATTCAAACAACTAAACTTTTTTCATCTTAACATTTGAAAGATGAAGTTTATGGTTACTTAAATGAAATAGCAGTATCACTTGCCATAAAGAGAACATAACTTTAAACACAGTGCAAACAAAACACTCTACATTTTAACTGGATCCCGTTTGTCAGTGCCTTGGATTCTGCAATATCACTTGGCATAAAGAGAACATAACTTTAAACACAGTGCAAACAAAACACTCTACATTTTAACTGGATCCCGTTTGTCAGTGCCTTGGATTCTGAGCCTGCGTTTCCATTGTTAAAAGGGGAAATTAGCAAGTGTTAACCAGGAATTAAAGATATACTGGGGCGCTACTGAGACTTTTATTCTTTCAAAAGGATTTACATGTTAAGACTATTTAGTGCCCCTGTCCATTACGCTGGAGTCATCTATTTGGAGTAGTATCCCATGCTTTAGGAAATGCTGCTCAAAGATTGGGGCCTCTGAGATGTAAGACAGCCAACTTGGTATCACCTTTTCTTAGAGAACGATAAAGAGAGGCCTTTTAAATATTGGCACAGGCTCTGTGAATGTTCAGAGTTCTCTTGAGAAACAGGCTTAGGATTTGGGTATGTTGTGGATTCTGGTGGCTTAGGCATCTCTGCTTTTCTGGGTCCTTGTGTGACAGTTCGGTGTGCGAGTGCTTCCTCTGCTTTGAGGAAAGGTGGGTTAGATTTGTGTCAGTTTGCAGACCTGTAGGAGGAGTCCTAAGGCCTAGAAATGTAGCTTTTTTTCTTTTTTTTTTTTTTTTAATGGAAAACATTTTTTTTTTTTTTTTTTTTTTTTTTTTTTTTTTTTTGTTTTTTTTTTTTTTTTTTTTTTTTTAATGGAAAACATGTTTGTTTTGTTTTGTTTTGTTTTGTTTTTGAGTCAGAGTCTCACTCTGTTGCCTAGGCTGGAGTGCAGTGGCACGATCTTGGTTCACTGCAACCTCTGCCTCCCAGGTTTAAGCAATTCCTGTGCCTCAGCCCCCTGAGTAGCTGGCATTACAGACATGTGCCACCATGCCTGGCTAATATTTTTGTATTTTTAGTAGCGATAGGGTTTCTCCATGTTGGCCAGGTTGGTCTCAAACTCCTGGCCACAAGTGATCCTCCCACCTTGGCCTCCCAAAGTGCTGGGATTACGGGCATGAGCCCCTGCACCCGGCTGAGATGTAGTTCTTAACCTTCCTTACATTGGACCCCTATGAGGGTTTAGGGGTGGCTAGGGAGAGGTGGTTCAGTGCTCTGTTAACAAACTTTGATTACAGAGTGGCCTAATTAAGAGTTTAAGGGCTCTTGTATTTGTTTTCTTCTTGTTTAGATTATTCTTAAGTCCCTAACTAAGCAGGTTATGAATCCTGGTAGGGAAACTGTTTTATTTGAGCCATTCTCTGGAGCAAGTTCTTGGGTATTTGATTAAAAGACAGAGACCACCAGAAATTCTCATAGACAGTCATGAATGTGCTGTCACTGAGCTTTCAGAGACACCCTGAACTACATTCTAGCGGGTGAGAGGATGTGAAGTGTTAGGTTAGGAATGGTGTGATTTGTGGTGGTTATAGACATGTGAGATATAAGATTCCTCAACTTCAAATGTTACTTAGAAGCGATCCAGCTTTCTGAATTAATTCTTATGAATTCTGGATTTGGAACAGTAACTTCCCGAACGGCAGGGGCTTTCTGAAGGTCAGCAGAGAGGACCTGAAGGGACCCTGTTTCTGATACCTTCTGGGTTATCAACTCCAGACCAAAAGAACTCCTGATTTTGGAAAGAGGTTCTTGAAAGCAAGAGGGGAGGTGACCTTGGTGAAGCCTCTTTAGGGACATGAGCTTTTGGAAGGAAAGGAGCTTTTGGGAAAGGAGATAAGTCATGGAGTCATGGTATTAAAAAGGCTTACCCTGGAGAAAGAAGTCATAAAACTCCATACAGTTAGTGCAATAGTTTTGTTTTTACTAGGACAGCACCAGTTTATATGGACTATTTATGTAACATAAACAAGGTCTCTTGATATTTTAATAATTAACAACTGGATTTTATTTTGTACTGCAGGTGCAGGTTATCATTCTGAATCCAAAGCCAAGGAATATAAACATGTATGCAAACGAGCTTGTCAGAAGGTATGAACACAATGTGAATGATCTAAGCATTTCAGTTTTGAACACAAAGCTGTTTTGCCTTGAAATTCAACATTTTAAAGTTTCATTTCTAGGACAGTCTTCTTCCAGTTTGGACCACAAAATTATTTTGCTTATTTTTGTAGCGGATTGTTTTGTGTTTTTAATTTTCCACATGATGCTTAGCCCTTTATCTTCCTTCCCCAGATTAAAGTCTGTATTTTTGTAATTGTGGGCATACAATCATATCTCTTTTTTTTTTTTTTGAGACGGAGTTTCGCTCTTGTTACCCAGGCTGGAGTGCAATGGCACGATCTCGGCTCACCACAACCTCCGCCTCCCAGGTTCAGGCAATTCTCCTGCCTCAGCCTCCTGAGTCGCTGGGATTACAGGCATGTACCTCCATACCCAGCTGATTTTTTGTATTTTTAGTAGAGACGGGGTTTCACCATGTTGACCAGGATGGTCTCGATCTCTTGACCTCATGATCCACCTGCCTCGGCCTCCCACAGTGCTGGGATTACAGGCTTGAGCCACCGCGCCCGGCCTCAATCATATCTCTTTTAATCTTTGCAATGATGTTGAACTTCTGTAGACAGAAGGATAGAGAAAACAGCTTAAAGGCAGTCAATATGTTTTTCCATGAAGGGAAAAAAGTAAATAAATTAAAATGGTTGCTTTTTTGAGAGAGATTATCCTATATGTTTTCATTCTGTTTTTCATTGCGTAGTTTGTAAGAGCAAGTTTGTTGTCATTCCTGAGTTCAGCTTTGCCCTTGTACTCAGTTGTGCTTTTTTCCCCATTGGTTTTTGAGTTTTTGCTAAATTGCTGAATATTTAGTGTGGGAGTAGGAATGGACTCAGAAGAAATATTTGTTTTTATTTTGATTCTGACTAGTCTTGTAGGCAAACGTTCCATTACTTTTTGTGCAAATGGGATCTAGTTGGATATTGTATATCAAGTAAATATGGGTCTCTTTCTGCCCTTTTCATTGATATTTATGTAACATTTAAAAGATAATTACACTTTATCAGAGATTCAAGCTTTTTCTTATGAATGAAATCCTATAAATAAAAATATTTTGCTATAGGGATTTTGTTCTTTTGAAATTTATTATAATAAAGCTAAAGGTTCTCTAAGTTATTTTATATTTTTTCTTTTCTTTTTTTTTGACGGAGTCTAGCTCTGTCGCCAGGCTGGAGTGCAGTGGCACAAACTCGGCTTACTGCAACTTCTGCCTCCTGGGTTCAAGCGATTCTTCCGCCTCAGCCTCCCGAGTAGCTGGGACCACAGGCACGTGCCACCATGCCCGGCTATTTTTTGTATTTTTAGTAGAGACGAGGTTTCACCATGTTGGCCAGGATGGTCTCCATCTCTTGACTTCGTGATCCGCCCACCTCGGCCTCCCAAAGTGCTGGGATTACAGGCGTGAGCCACCGTGCCTGGCCTATATTTTTTCTTATTTTTCAAAGTGTGAAATTTTTCTGTCATCTGAAATAAATTTTATATAACTATACTCCTAGAAATCTAATACATTTGAATTGTATGCTTAGCCTCCTCAGCATTTACAATGAACAAACTTCTTAAAAGTTTAATGTGGTATACAACTCTTAGTTTTGAGCTTTCTCTTTGTTGACCAAATTGGAATGTTAATAATTCATTTATTAAAGACTTTCCCTTCTCTTTCTTTTTCTCTCCTAATTTATGCTCAATGCCAGGTGATTTTATAGACCTTTACTCTTGTGTAGTTTATATTACAAAATAACATGATTCATCTTGATTTAAACTTTACATTAGAGTATCAAAAATGTTTTTGTCAAATGAATCCTTTTATCCTCAGATCTGGCATGCCCCTGTGACTGAGAGTCACTTTTTCAGTGTGGAGAGTATTAACAGTGGGAGGAGAAATGATTAGTTTGAGATTTCTGTGGCTATTTTGAATTGCCTTACAATGAATGAAGTGTACCAAATTCCTTATACTTTTTATTTAATAGCTAGATTTTATTGTTTTTATTTGAGTAATATTAAGTAAGCCATATCACCAATTAACCTGAATATAAACACTTGCTGATTTTAAATCTGAGTAGTTAAAGTATGGAATGGAACAAATGGTCAATTTTTATTAATCTAAGTGTCTCTCATACTTCTTTAAACCTTTGGAAAGTTTGAGAAGCTGTGATTTTGCAATGAATAATCTCTCTCCCCTTGGTTTCATAGGCAATTGAAAAGCTGCAGGCTGGTGCTCTTGCAACTGATGCAGTGACTGCAGCACTGGTGGAACTTGAGGTATTTCTTTTTTCTGTTTTATTTAAAATATTTGTGAATTTATCTTTATTGTTCTTAAATGACATGAAACTGTTGAGTTAGTCAACCATAAATTATATGACCGGTGTTTCCCGCCAATACTAGCAAAGTTATGAAGAAGCCTATGATATTGTTGTTTTCATTGGTGACTTTTCTGAGTAATATAAAAGTTGGTTAAATTCCTTTCCTTTCTTTTTTTTTTTTTTTGTGAGATTCATGAATACAAAGTTAATGGTGATTGGATACTTAAGTTTCCCATTTTCAGTAGGAAAATCCTTGAAGTTAACCCCCCAAAAGTGATGTATGTTCTGTTTAAAAATAATAAAAAATTCCAGCTGTCTAGAAGTGCCTAAAGTAGAAGGAGAAGATTCTTCATGATCCTAGCGGTTAAGTAGATACCCTGAAATTGTGTGCTGTGAAGTGTGCCTTGTCCCAGTGTGATGTTTAGGTTTATTCCCAATTTACTGTGGACATTGAAGAATTGAGTGGGGAGGCTCTCAGGTTTGCTATAATTTTTTATACTCTAGAGTGAGATTCTCTCAGTTAACTCTTGATTTGGAAGTTTGATGAATTGGTGCAGGTGATATTGAGGTCTTCAGAAGATTGACTTGCTGCTCAAACTTGGAGAAGATAGATTTGAGAGGATTATTGTGAAAAATATTTTTCTGGTTGAGAATACTACTTAGGGAATCAAGTAAGACATGATGATAAAACAATGAGGAGTTTGAGGGAGGAGATGATAATTAAAGTCGACATTTCCAGATTGACTGGGTTGTGGCCCTTGTATTTAGGCTCTCATACCAAGGCACATACCCTTTCATGCCTTTCCTTGTGAAAATTGCCCCGGTATTTACCAAAAGTCCTAGCCGTGTTTTCTGTATATTCTTATGCTTAATTGTGGACCTGAGCTTTTAATCATGCTTTGTAGATTAATTTCTCTTGCTAATGTCAGATTGGTCCTAATGTAGTCAAGGAAGGTGAAAGTATATGGTGGGCACTTAGTTCTATTGAATCTGACATGGCATGTGACTGCTACATTTCATACCAACTCTACCAGTCATTAGCCATGTGTCCCTGGGTATGGCACTGTCTGTCCTTGACTCATTTTCCCTATTTATTATATGAGGGTAATAATTCCCGCTTCATAGAGCTGTAAAGATTAGCTGAGTTAATATGTGACCAAATACATGACAATCTCTTAGAACAGTGTGTGGTACGTAGTAAGTACCCCATAACTGTTAGCAATAATTACTGTTATGAGGTGCTTTGAAAATGGTACGTATGAGGTGAATGTTTATGCTAAATATTAATGAGAAGTTTTACAGCATCAAAGAAAGGTTAATTATATGTTGAGGATAAGAGGAGAAAAATGACATGAGAAAGAAGATAGATGTATTTACCACCAAATGTTACCTTTACTCAAAACAGACCACAAAGAGGGCTTTGTCTAACTTAATTCAATTGTTAGTTGAAAATTACTGTTCTTTGTGCAGAAGGTGATATGCTGAATTACTGAGTGATAGAGTCAGTGTAGGTCTGAGGAAAGAAGGTTAATGAGTAGCTGGAAAATATACAACTATGAATGGCAACTATGAATGGAAAACTGAAAAAAATTAAGTTTCTTTTTTCATGTTAGAATAACTTTAATTTTCCTAAATCATACTTCTATATCATGTTTAATATTTTATTCTATTTTCCCCTAGTGTTGAATCCTACTTTTAAAGGGTTTGCTTATTTATACTTAAAAATGATAAAAATACATTTTGAAATAATGAGGTTCTCCTGAGTAAGTGGATTTATAATTTTGAATAACTTGTGTTTTTTTGAGTGTGGATATGAATTTAAAGGGAAAAAAATTTTTGTTCTATTATTTTTGATTGGAATAAGTCTTAAGGACAGTGGCAGCATAGAATACTTCCCCAAGTGACTTTAGTGCATCCCACACCTCAACTTTT